CTGCGCTCGCAGGGGTGGTGCCCAACGACGGCCAGTTCCCAAACGCGCGCGGCGTGCGGACCAGCTTCCTGTGCACAGGGCCCATGTGCCGCTACGCGGAGGACTTGGAGCCTATGCTGAGGGTCATGGCCGGTCCCGGAGTCAACAAGTAAGTCAGTCCTACTGCCTCAAGCTGCTGAATTAGTCTCAGCTGCTTTCTGGCCAGTGCAGCGGGTCCATCCTGTTTGGTGTACAAGATGGGTCTGCACCACCCAGACTGCTTGTTACTGGTTTCCTTCCTCCGCTCCTGGCCTCAGCAGGACCCTTGCAGCTGGGGCCGTCCTTCCCAGCACCCGTGTGCTCTGGGGAACAGGCAGCTGTGGTCAGCAGGTCCTGTGAGCTGCTCCAGCCAGCACCGACCAGCACGCCCTTCCCTCTCGGGGCTGGCCTTTTTCCTGTTGCTGAATAATGAGTTTTCCATCCCACACCATGGCCCCGTTTGGTCTTTTTATAGGTCCATGCAACCAAGCAGCCTTTTGTGTGCAGGTACCAGTAAGGAGCAGAGCGGAGATGGGGCGGACTGGGCAGGTCCTGCTTCTTGCTGCAGCCTGCACATGGTTGCTTTCTCCATTACCACTTTTGTTTGTCAGTGGCTCTTGTGGTGCAATCCCAACCTTGGCCATCACCAGGGTTTGTAATTACATGGTGCATCTTGCGAGATCAGGATTTTCCTAACGGCAACGAATATGCAGAACAGACTGGGACTGACGGGGCAGGCGAGCAGCTGTACAGGTTGTGGGCAGTGGGTGTCTGTGTGTCGTCAGGGACTCTCCTTTCCACCGAGACCAGGGTGTCCTGAGGATGCATTAACAAGCATGTGAGAAGCTCTGGCAGCTGGGAAGGACCCCAGGGCAGATTTGTGAGCAAAGTGCTGTTCCTTTCCCAGGCTGAAGCTGAATGAAAAGGTGTCACTGGAGAAAGTAAAATTTCACTGCATGGATCATGACGGTGGTTCCATTTTTGTGTCACCTGTGGACAAGGAAATCTTGCAGGCCCAAAAGAAGGTAGGAGGGAATGGAGGTTGGCTTCCTTTCAAGGAAGGAAGGAAAGTGTAAAGATCTTTTTCTTCTTCTGTGTTAAAGAAGAAACAAGTGGAAAATCTTGTGAGTGACTGCCAGTGCCCTTGCCAGCAGCACCTGTGTGTTGGAGTGCACCAGGTGTCCAAAGTTGTTATTGCAATTGAAATTGGGCCAGCTATATTTTGCTTTCTTAACATCTTTTGTTCATGTTATGGAGACCTTCTGGAGGCACATCGCATGGCGAAGGGATGGCTGTGTTTGCGGTCTTCCTAGGGTTGCTGCCTGGCATTTAGTCATGCAAAGGAACTTTTTTTGTTTTCAATTATATCTTCTGTGCTTTGGGGAGCTCCAAAGTTGTTAGCAGATGGAGGAGGTCCCACTGCTGAGGGCAGAGGGGAGCAGGCAGGAGCTGCAGGATTGGCAGCAAAGAGAACCTGCTCCTGGGCTCTCTCCTGTCCCTAGTTTCCATGGACTTAGCCACAGCACATCACATCCTTGCAGAAACAAACCCATCCCACTCTTCCCCTTAGGTGGTGGAGCACCTTGAAGGTGAGCTGGGGGTTCAAGTTCGGCGTGTGGCAATCCACAAGATGAAGTATTCTTTCCAGATCTGGTCAGCCATGATGTCGTCCAAGGACAGCGATGGGCAGGTGTGTCAGACCAAGCTGGAAAAAGCACATATTTGGCAGCAGCAGGGAAGAATCGAGTGTTTGGGGACAGCCAAGGAGAGCTGTAGGCTTCCCGGACCTGCCTGGGGGCTTTCTCTGCTCCGTTTGTCCCCCCAGTCCTCCTTTCCTCTCTTCCCAAAGCTACACAGCTCCTTCCCCCTTGCTTTCCCATGAGATGACGATGTGGCTCCCAGCAGAGGAGCAGCATGGTTTAGGGAAGGAGAGGCCATGTTAGCATGTTGACCTTTTCTGTGCAAGCTGGTAAGTCAGCCAAGCAAGTAGCATCCTGCCTTGCTCTTACCTCCATGCTGTGTCTCCTGACGCTGTAGGTTGGGATTAATATAATGTGTTAGGATGCTGGGACTGAGTGGTGGATTAGCACCTTTTCAGTAGCAGGCCTGCATGTGTTGTTTTTTCCTTGAATTGTAGCCACTGCGCCACGCTCTGCGCATGCATGGAGGCATTTTGTAGCAAAAATAAGCTCTCGGGAGTATTATACCTTGTGCATTCCCGCATGCAGGCAGCGGTGAAAAATAAGCCAACCCCACCTTGCTAAGCAGGACATGCCTCCTTTTTCCTGATCCCACAGCCATATATTGGCAGTCAGTGCCTCCAGGAGACATTATCCAGAGCGTCATCCCTTGCGCCACGTCAGAGGAGGGGTACTGGAAGGTGCTGCTGCTCTGGATTAGTGCTAGCGCTGTGTAAGACTCCTGATGGGCATCTCTTTTCTGAAATGGGAACAGCTCGTGTCAGGATCATTGGACAGCCGGAGATTTTGCTGTTACTTGTCAGCCTGTTCCTCCCCGTCGCACGCTAGCTGACGGTGCTGATGGCGGGAGCGTGTGTCTGTGTTACAGGAGGCACAGCTATTCACAGACCTGCTGGGGGACCACGGGAAGCCGGTGTGGCCACTGTGGGAGCTGATGAAATGGCTCGTGGGGATGTCTTCCCACACTCTCCCAGCTATCGGTAAGGCCGGGGGGAGCCCTGGCATGTGCGGAGGCAGCGGTGGGGTGGGCAAGTTGTTAGATGAAAATAGTGCCCTTCCAGTGCCCCGCAAAGGGACGCCGGAGTTTGCGCTGAGCAGCTTCAGAGAGGTTTTGTCGTCGAGTAAAATGCATGCTCGAGGGGCAGTTGGCTGGATCTTTGGTAAATGGGATTGGATATCCTGGGAAAAGAAGTGAGGACAACAGAGCTGCAGGCAGAGGTTTTCCCCACTGTCAGCCCTGTCAGAGCTGCTGGAGCTTAGAGGGAGCCAGTTAGGGGTCTGCACCGATCTTGTTTCTTAGCAGCAGGTGCCCGAGGACCCTAATTAGTGCTGTTGTGCCGCTGTTTAATGAGTGCTGAGGTCACTCTGCGAGCTCTGCTCAGTCCCAGTGGCTGGAAAAACTCCTTGAAGCAACTCCTGAAAGCCTTTCCCTGGGCAAAGCTGGGGAGATGCTGCCTGCAGAGTCGTGCCACGCGCAGGGGGCAATCTGTGCCGGGAGCCGGCGTGCCGGCAGGGAGGGGAGCGTGGGGGGCCCCACTAGGAGCGGGAGGATGCGGCGTGTGGCTGGGCAATGCGCTTTCTAGCCTGCTTAACCCACGGTCCTCTCACTCACTCTCTGTTGCTGTTTGTGCCCTTGCCCTGCAGCCCTGGGGCTGACGGAGAAGCTGATGAAACTCAACCCTGGTGGGAACGCCAAGCTGGTGAGCATGGGGAAGAGCCTGCAGGAGGAGATGGAGGCCCTGCTGGGGCCGGACGGGGTGCTCCTCTACCCCTCCCACCCCACCATAGCTCCCAGACACCACTCCCCCATATGCATGCCCTTCAACTTCGCCTATACAGGTGAGCAGCTCTGGCTCCTCTGCTGGGGTACAGGCAGGGGTTGCAGGCATGCCCTCACCTGCTGCAGCAGTGCAGGATGGGAGCCAGCGTGTTTTACCCAAAGTATTTCCATCACTGACAGTGGGCTTTGCAGTGCAGAGGGGTGTCTCCCTGCTCCAGGGCATGGGGCAAGGATTACAGTCATGCTTTAAAACTGTGTGGTATTTGTACCCGCTGTCCGCAGCGGTTTGTTTGACACATCTGATCTTGGGGGGCTACTCTGCCCCAGAGGGATGCGCTCACGCTGTTACAGCTGGCACTGCGGTTTAGCAGGCACCCGAGAGCTGCCGTTGTCTCTTGGGGTAGAGTTTGGGGCTCTCTACGTGGCTTTCCTGCAGCTTGAGCTCCTCAGTGCCAGCGCCGTGTTGTAATGCTGCCTCATTTTGGAGTAATGGAGGAATGGTGCCTGGGGCAGGAACGTCCCAAAGCAGATCTTGGCAAGTGGCACATAAGCGTGTCATCACTCATGGGTGCAGTTTGCATATGTGACATGGGCGCTGGGAACCTCTGGCCAGCGATGTCCCCTTGTCATCGCGTCTCTGCGCTGCCTGGCGTGACTGCAGCGCTCCAGCAAGGACCAGCTCCCAGGAGCCCGGCACCATGCATGTCAGCAGCTCCTTACCTGGGGTGGGAGAGCCAGGCAGTGATTTATCCTGATTGCTGTGCTTGCTCTGGTGCAACCTTCTCTCTTCCAGCTATCTTCAACGTCCTGGGCTTGCCGGTGACGCAGTGCCCGCTGGGCCTGAGCAGCGAGGGCTTGCCGCTGGGCATCCAGCTGGTGGCGGCATCCTACAACGACCACTTGACGCTGGCGGTAGCCCGGTATCTGGAGAAGGCTTTTGGGGGATGGGTTTTACCGGGGAAAGTTTAGCCTGGGCTCCTGGCACTGCAGGGAGGCAGGGACGGGGACAGTGGTGCCCAGCAAGGCAGCAGCGGGTGCTGATGCCTGATCCCGTCATGGCACCACCTGCTCCCTCCACACACACCCTTGCGCCTTCCTGGGAGCGGCCAGCGGTGCCTCCAGACCCTAGGGAAGCCAGGCTGTTGCTGCCAGAGTCATCTTCTCCCTGCAGTACCCTCTGCCGGGGAGAGACCTGCCCTCCCCGTGGCCCCTCGGGAGCCCTGGTGCCTGACAGCAGGCTGCTTGCGTCCCGCCTCGGTGGGCACCTATCTTCTCCTGGGCGTGCAGATGTCCAGCTCTCTGTAAAACTTGCTGCTTTGAAGATGCTGAGTGAAGGCTGGGAAGAGGAGATGCTGCCAGACTGCTCGGGGATGATCTCGGGGCCCCTGGGTACATCCGTCCTCCTTGGCCTTACCTGGCCCGCGCGGCTGGGACTGCACCCGTAGCAC